AGAGCTGAACCCCAAGGTTGAGGGGCATTCACCCAGCCCCTCAAGCCTGGCACTTTGAACTTGGACTTAAAGCCTCCAAATTGTAAGAATAAACTCCTATTTGTTCAAGTCATCCAATTTGTGGTATATTCCTGTCAGAGTGACACTAGGTAACCAGAACAGTACATAAAATATTTGTCAGAAAAAACTTTAAGTGGCCTGAAGCACTTCACCTTCCACTAAGAGGCATAGGAAAAATGCACCCCCTAAAATGGTGACTTGAGCCCATTGAAAATTATCATGCAAAAAATTGATTACTCTCAATTTACATTCTTAATCCAATTAAACTTCAAACAGATGTCACTAAGAATCATGCTGTAAGTTAAGGCAAGACCTTTATGATTTTTGAGAAAATGAGGGACTTGCAGATAAAAATTAAAAATGGGCTGGGATAACCTAATAAAAATAAAATGCTCTTGACTCTATACTTGTTGTTCAAGGAGTATTTGCTCTAGTCAAATATGTATGTTTATAGAAAAAGACAAGCATATTAAAACCAACATAAATAGAATTCAAGTACTCAAAAGTCTTTGAAAGTTGGGTCCTCTCTTCTTAGCTAATGGCCTGTTTGGAAGATATATCTTTAATGGAATAATGTTGTTTATCCTATTGGCTTTTATTTTGAAACAAATAAATGCTCTGAAGACAAGCAGAACAAATCATGGCAAAAAGAGAAGTAAATCAAATATATACACACACAAAGAAAATTAACAGGATACTTTAAAAGTATTCACATCTGGAGATACATAGAAATCCAGCATATCATACGTGTTTATGGAAATCCATTTTAGCTTACAGAGCCTATTTGTTTAGCCATTTAGAAAAACTATCCTTTTCAGGTCTTTAAAACATATAAATATGCATGTGTGTATATAAATAACAATACAAGTTCTTCATGCCATAGAGAAAATGAGTCCTGTGGCCCACTAACATAAAATAGTATTAAATAGTAGTATGTAATTTTGCAGAACTTTACATTATTTGTCTAGAAATTTAAAACTATATACAATAGAATACAAATCAGAGTGCTTAATCTCAGATTCTACCCAGTGGTTGACTCTCTTCTGCAAAATTGCCAGAATTAAAGCCATATTTGCACAACTGTTTCAGCAAAGGAGAAGTTTTTATTTTGTCTCAACAGTACTCAAGTCCAAATTTATCTAACAAGTAAATGTATCTTTAGTTCCTTGGAAATACAGTCTCTCCTTTGTCATTTCCATTCAGAGCTTGCCTGTTGATGATAAGTGGAAAACATAAGATGGCAGCGTCATTGGCTACTTGGCATAACAGATATTTTCTTGGACTCAAACATTTTCTTCATAAATACATAGATATAAAATGATGATGAAGGGTAGTCATTTGTGTTATCTACCATATTCATACTATTGCTTTTATTACTGACCACCTTCGTGTGTTTAACGGTAGGCCTGTTAAATCAAATGAAGCAACAAGAGTTTGTTAAATGCTAATATATTCTAACTGATAAGCTTATTGGTTTTCTGGATTTTCTAATTATATGAACAAGAAGTTACAGAATACATATAAAGGGAAGCTCAGAACTGTGCTATCCAACTTCATTATGACTTGTTCCTCTTCATTTTCGAAGGTAAGGATTTTATAGCCAGTCGTTTTACTGAAACTTAGTTTTCCACTAGAATCAAAGTATACCAAATTTAATCTGAATGCAATATTTCTTACAGGTTGTAAACAAACAGAACTTTCATATGGCCGACTGAATGTATTTTGTTTGAAAATTATATAATGTCTGGTGAAGATGACATGTAAGGGAAAGCCAAAGTTGTAACCTGACCACATCCAGGAGTAATTTCCATCCTTTACAATCCTTTTACCACATCTCATGCTGTATCTTTCTAGTTCTGTTTTATTGATGACTCGAGGCCCGATTTCTCTGTATTGTTGTGCCCTAAGCAGGGTCAACCATTGTTGTTTGTATATAGATGATAACCATTCTGAAGGTATTAGAGCATCTTGTTCAATAACTTTTGTGGAGGCCAGATCACAGATGATATGCTGAAACCTCAAATTTTTAAACACTTGTTGAAATGTTATTCCTTCTTCAGTTTCAAGAAAGGCAGTGTTACCAGCACATCCTCTGTGCCTGGAAAACCAGTTGTTTGCATTAACTAAAAGTTGTTTCATTGAGCCATTCCAGGCTGGGTTCAGGCGAAGGAACATCCACTCTTTAAGTGTAGTGTATACATCCATTTCCTTTTGCATTACTAATAAATTAGAAGAAGAAATAAGGAGATTCATGAGATTTATATTAAGTTCTTTGTAAAGTTCAATATTTGGGTGTGTCATCAAGTTGTGAAGAAGCCATTCAAAGCAACCTATCTTTATGGAAGCTAGTCCATAGGTCTCTGCTGCTGTATAATAGGCACATACGGTTTTTACATTAATTGTTTCCTTCATGGTTTCTTTACACTGCTGAATTAAGCCTTTTACCTGAAGCAAGCATGCTGTTGCCAAAACTCCTGGAACTCGAAGGGGAGCCATGAAGACATACTCATCTCTGTACATAGAACCTAATACAAAGTGCAGGGCTTCTACATCTATATTCTGGTCATTAATCTCCAACTCAATAACATCAGTTTGAGAGTCTTTCTTAGAATCTCTGAAAATACTAGCAAAGTAGTCTGATTGACATAAAAATATTTTGTGTAAACACCATACTTTCCCTAGAGCACAGAGCTTAATATCACTAGATTCCCCATTCAGAAATAAATTTTGGTAAGTATACTTGGATGTGACTTTAACATTTTCCCCCTGGCTTGTGCTGCAGACTTGCTGTAGATCTTTCCATCCTAGAGACCTGTGGCTGTTCTCAGATGAGCTGGAGCAGGACCCGCTGCTGTGCTTTCGGTTTCGGTTTCGGTTTCCAGATACACAACTGGGGCCAGGCTGGGCTTCGGGCTGCAGATCCTCTGGGCCTGGTTCTCTGCTTAGCAGGACCCTGCTGCTCAAGGATCCCATTGGTGAAGGCTCTCAAAGGCCCTCAATGAGACTGTTCAAGAAGCTCTCCTGCCATGGCATTGCTGCCTCCTGGTCTAACTCCGGGCACTTTGGCACAGTTCCGAACGTCACAGAGGAGGCTCATATTCTTCATTGTCTGCCCCGCCCCTCATGCCCTGTGGCCTCACCCCTTCCTCCATTCCCTTTTTTTCCATGTGTCTGGCCTTTAACCAGTCTCCAGATTTCACTTAAGAATATTTTCCTATAAGGGAAATGGCTGCATCAAGGCCTTTATTTATTTATTTATTTTTAACAGTGTGATCCCATTTTTATTTTTAATACCGTATGAATATGGAACCTAAACCTACCTTGATGTGTATAAATAATGCTAAAGTCTAAC